GATGATGATGATGATGATGATGATGATGATGATGATGATGATGATGATGACGGTCATGATGAGGATGAGGATGTGGATGAGGATGAGGACGAGGTTGGGCATCAAGTTTAGGACGATGGGCGACGACTCCGTCGACGATTACGACGACCACCCACGATTTGCACAGATGGTGGCGCTGAGGAGGAGGAGAAGCACCAGTGGGAGACGTATCAGCGATCGAGGTGGGGGAGATTCAGAATCAAGGACCGAGGATCGAGGGCCGAGGAGGAGGAGGAGGAGCATGAGGAGGAAGGGGGATGGAGGATCGAGGATCGAGTAGCGTGAATAAGGCGGAAGTGGAGAAATGAAGGCGACTGAGGAAGAAGAGAGGAGGAGGAGGAGGAGGAGGAGGAGAAGGAGGAGGAGGAGGAAGAGGAGGAGGAGGAGAGGTAGAGGAGGAGGAGGAGGAGGAGGAGGAGGAGGAGGAGGAGGAGAAATAATAATCCACTCTCAAGGGAGAGAAGGAATACACAGGAGGAGGAAGAGGAGGAGGAGGAGGACGAGGAGGAGGAAGAGAGGGAGGGAGCAAGGGAGGGAGGGAGGGCGGGAGGGAGGGAGAGAGGGAGGGCGGAGGAGGAGGAGCGGGAGGAGGAGGAGGAGGTGGAGGAGGAGGAGGAGGATGCAGGAAATTGAGGATCGAGACTCCAGGAGAATAGGGCAGTATAGTGAGCACGACGATCGAGGATGAGGTGGAGGAGGAGGGGGAGGAGGAGGAGGAAGATAGTTCGACAGTTGGTTAGCCGAGTGCCACGCAATGTAATGCAATGCAGCGCAGTGCCTCCTCCCTTCTCCCTCCTCCCCCTCTTCCAGTGCCGGAGGAACTTTTCGAGTTTCCGGCGCCCAGGCATTCCCCCCCCCCGTCCTAGGGCCAGAACATTTTTTCTTGAGCCCACAACGCCCTGGCCCCGAGGCGGCGTCGACCAGCCACTTTTTGCATACGCCTCACACGGTTCGTGCCTCCAGGGCTGGATTTGATTGGAACCCTCAGATTTTCCCGAGCCGTATTTGAATATTCTTTCGATCGCTCCATAATTTTCTATGATCCCCCCTCCCCGGCGACGACGACGACGACGCACGACGCATGACGCACGACGCACGACGCACGACGACGACGCACGGTGCCGACGCCGACGCCGACGCCGACGCCGCCGACGACGACGACGCCGACGGCGAGGCCGGCGACGCCGACGACGACAACGGCGAAGACGAAAAGATGAAGACGACGAGCAGAGTAGAGCAGGTGTAGAAAAGAGTATAATAGAAGTCGAGTGGCATAGGGTAGAATAGAGTCGAGTGAAGTAGGGTGGTACATGGTAGGTTAGGGCAGAGTAGGCTAGAGCAGAGTAGGGATATGTAAAGCAGAACATAAGAGAGTAGAGTCGAACATGTGTAGAGTAGAGTAGACACAAATAACACTAGAGTAGAGTATGTTAGGGTACGGTAGGGTAGAGCAGAGTAGAGCAGGGTAGGGCAGAGTAGAGTAGAGGAGAGTACAGGGGTAGAGTAGGGCAGAGTACACTAGAGCCCTAGTAGGATACTGGGAGAGCCGGTTTGAGCCCTAGTGGCATTCTATCGACGCCGACGCCGACGCTGGTGCCGATGCCGACGCCGACTCCGACGCCGACGACGCCGACGCCGACGACGCCGACTACGACGACGACTACGACGACGACGACGAGGACGACACATACGACGACGATGATGAACAGAGCAGAGTAGGCGTAGAGTCGAGTATAATAGGTGTAGAGTAGAGTAGGATGGAGTAGAATCGAGTAGAGTAGTATGGGGTATGGTAGGGTAGGGCCGAGTAAGGCAGAGTAGAGTAGAATAGGGATATGTATATTATAATGCAGTAGAGTAGAGTAGAGTCGAATAGAGACGGGTAGGTGAGTAGAGTTGGGTAGCAGTTGAGTAGAGTAGATTCGAGCTGAGTAGAGTAGATTGGGAGTTGAGAAGAACATAGTAGGAGCAACATAAAGCGGAGTCGAGCATGTTAGGGTTACGGTAGAGTAGAGTAGAGTAGAATAGAGGGCAGTCGATGGGGCAGAGTAGGGTAGGGCACAGTAGGGCCCCAGTAGGAGACTGAGAGAGCTGGATCGAGCCCTAGCAGCACTGTGTCACAGCCGGCGCCTGGCGCTGGCGCCCGCGGCAGGTGCGCCGCCGCCGCCGCTGATGTGATGT